AATGATACTATATCTTGAAAACAAGAGCTAATATATAATTTTTAATTTCATTTTCGGTTTTAACACGTGGAAATACATTAAAATCATCTAATTTCAACCCCGAAACAAAAACTTTGTTGTGTTGTGTTATAGGTTCGGGCCACAGAAACCACTTTCTGATATAATTAAAATTCTCAGACTCATGCATTTATTATTTAAGTTGTTACTCTTTCAAAGTTACTGACAGAACTGCTGCTATCGTGAAGACGGGATGCTTGTATATTCTAACCATCACTATATGAGTGGCTGGACAAGCAAAAAGGAAGGTTTCATATACATAACTTGCTCCACAGAGGCATATCTTTTCCTGCTCGAATCAGAAAATTTCATTTTACCGATTTTGAAGATCTACTTTTACATCTTTTTAAAATACAGGAAGAAAGAAATTGATTTCAGAATAAACTCTTTACAAGGATGTGTAGAAAGGAAGCCATTTCGAAACAACAATTTCTATATGAACGTTGATTGTCATATTCTCAAAAGTTTGACTTCATACATGAATAATAATAAGAATAGGAAAATTCAATCAACTCCGGCTGTCGAGTTATTATATATCATAATTTTTTCATTTTCCAGATATATATTTTTCGACTTGAATTGAATTATCGGTAATTCAGATATAACATCTACAGATTAATAATGACAATTTATTATATATCACTGATCCAAAACCTCTTCATTCTACGATACTAATCGATTCTAATCATATTTCAATTTTCAGTAACAGTTGCTTTGTTGAATGCAGTTTACCGTGTTCTGAATGAGCACAATATTTCGTTCAGCTTTAACGACAGGAAAACAGAAATTGTGACGTGTATTGATATCAGCATTGTGCTTATCATAGTTGTATTTGGTGTAATAACATTACCCGGCAATGTCAGAAAAATTTTGAAAATCCTCAACTGTTTGAATCAGGTGAGTATTATTCAAGTCGTCCACTGCAATAAGTAGTAGGTTTCATAATTTCTTCATCTCCAATTGTAATGGTTCTTTTCAAATCTACCTATCACATTCAATATTAGAGAGGACCGTTCTTCGAAAAAAATGGTGTAAAATGATTCAGATGCATTTTCAGAAAAAGATTAAAAATATTGAGGACGTAATCATGTTAATATTTCAAAATTTGAATTCGAAGATGGTATTCAAAAAATGGAAGGATGTACCAAAAATTAAGTACCTATAGTTCCAATCTGAATAGTTCTACAGGGTGTCCCAAAAGTGTTAGTACGGGGTAGTATCTCGGAGGTTGTTGAGGTTGAAAAAAAAGAGTTTTGACAGTTACATGTTTACAAAAAAACTTACTCTTTTACACATTTGAAGCTCATTCATCCTTGCAGGGATAGCAACAGGGAGCTGCGTCCTAAATCTCAAATGAATACCTATATCGATATGTATCTCATTCAAAAGGCTTTGAAAAAAAACAAATATTTCTGCACGAACCAGATGTCTCTACTGTCACATATTTACGATTATTCAGAAAGGTTGATAACTCCTTGACAGTCGTGAAAAAAGTTTCATTTCATAAGATGTTCAAGGTGTCCAGAACCAACCTCTTAACAATAATCTATTGAAATTTATTCTTTCGTCAACCAGCCATCGCCCTCCTACGGAAGACAACCGCCCTTACGTTTGCCAGAATTCAATCAAAAAAGTTCTCAGGATATGTTCTGGGTAGAACTTTGATTTTAACATTTCTTTTTAAACCTCTTTTATACTTTGGATGAGCACCAACATCCTACCATGTAGAGTGCTAGAGGAGGATTGAAAAACCATTGGTTTTTTTTTCATTGCACAAAATCGTAGTATTTGACCCTGATTCAATTTCTTCAGTTCTTGAAATGTTCCCTTTTCAGCTCCTATGAAGTATTTTCCACTATCAGTAATAGATCTATAGGAGTTCTGGCCCAAAATCCCATGTATTTTCTTATGGAGCTTAATTCTGAACCTTTTTGGACCTCAGGCCCACTTCACACGAAAGGAGTAAAAGTCAGCGCCTCGTCTCTACCAGACGTCCATTATGTGTAAACTGAGCCTTAGCCTTTAAAGCCCACTTCAGACCATCTCCACTTTTCCACTTTTACCGTCATTCAGTCAACCAATCAGCTATCACGCATAGAGCGGGAAATTCAAACCAGTAGATGAACAAAGAGACTTCTGGCCCACTTGGGAGTGGGGGTAACTTAATAGCTCTAGTGACCATACAGGTGAAAATAACACCATATCTTTTTCCTCGGTTTCTCTTGACTGATATAGACCAAAATAGTCACCGCCTGTTTCATTGAAGTCTCTGATTGTGGTTTCAATCCTACAACAAGGTAATTGTCCCATTATTGGGGTTCTCAGTACAGCTCTTTATTTTTCACAATGTTGGCAGCTGTTCCAAGCACTTCTTATCGCTTGCATCATTCTTAATATCCAAAATTTCATTCGCAGATTATTGACTACCATTTCTTGGCCATGATGATGGAACATTTCATGATAATGTTGAATCAGAAGTTTGGTTATTCTCTGGTTGGGATCTAGAACAATAGGACGTTTTGCAGAGTCGGTCAACTAAACTGACTGGACAGTCTTCATCTGAGCCGTATGAGTCCATGATCCTCATAATAACTGCAAGAAAGAGTTTGAAGTCGACTTTCACTTCTGATGGGCATTTTATTTTCCAAATATGTCATCTCCACGGAATGAGTCCAACTGAATTTTTTTGAAAAGATAAACTTTGGCTTTGCAAATTGCCTCTGCAGTTAATTCGGACTTGAATCTATTGCTATTCTTCAGAAAAACTATTCGGATCAGGCACTATAAGATTATCTTGAATGAAATTTAGACTACAAATTCGAAATTTTTTCTTTTGACCACTGATCTGTTGGTAACATCGTGAAATCTGGTCCGGTAATCCATCTCCGGACCAGATTGGAAAGCACCACAGAAAAATCCGCTCTCAGAGCGGTGCCTGTGAGAAAGTAGCGATGTACATGGATTCGAATCGCTGGAGATTAAGTCTATTTGGAAAAACGTTCTCAAGAAGTTTATTGCACATCAACGCAGTTCTCCAGATGAAAAAGTTCCTAAATAGTGAAGTTCGAGTGTACCCAGTTGAACCTCAAAACAATGAGCAGCAACAGTCCGTCGCGTATTTCTGATATGAACCGCTCTTGGTGTAATCAACTGTGCAAGTCCCTTAAACACTTCCCGTGAAAGTATCCATAGAAGAGAGACAAATCTCAAACCTTTCGTCGATGTTCCAGGCTATCAAGGTTGCACGTAACGTTCGCGTCTCCAATCAGGCGGATAGCTTCTTTCTGGATGGAATCCAGCAACTTCAGGATATGTTTGGGGGCAGAGCATGAGAACAATACTCCAAAGAAGGTATAATCTGAGCTTCATAAAGCATCAAAAGTTGCTGAGGTGTATACAGTTTTCTGGTTCGGAACAGTGTTCCAATTCCAGCGGCATGATTGTGCCAAGACATATTGGTATCCATTTTAACCCCCAACAAACTTATCGAAGCAGAGAGAGGAATTGTCTGACCTGACATAGTTATATTCGGTTCGGAGACATTTATCTTCTTGGAGAAAACCGATGCCTGGGTTTTTGTAGTATGGAACTGTCAGATGATTTCATAGATTGGTATGAAGAATGAAAACATTGGATTCTTTAGAGATTAGAAAATATTGCCATTACTGATGACAAGTGCTGATGAGTATGTACAATTATATTTCTTCGTTCATCTGCTCCCCTTCGAACGTCAACCCTCTGGAGTCGAAACTGCGAGTTGAGGATTAACGAGGTTCCACCTTTCAACATGCGATTCCTAGCAAGGGTTGGACGATACGTGAAAATCAATCATTTGGCCGACCGTTCCACATAGCGGTCGATTGAATGAGTATAACGAATCACTCACGCTAACCCAGCCGACAACCGTCCCAGTATAACGGGAAATCCAAGATCAAACAACTTCAAAAAAGTCTCCTGTAATTATTGAAAATAAAAGTTCCTTCTGCCATATGTTAAGACGCTGAGTGAGAGTTCAGGAATCAGTATAGATCATTCCTAATAACTTAGTTGCGCTAAGAAGGGTATCACAGCTTTGATGATGAATGAAGTTGGAATATTAAAAAAAGATACCAAACTTTTTCTCCATTCATCAAAATTAAGTGAGAGATGAATATGTAAGTTTTCTCTAATTCAACTTCTATATATTTTTTTCATTAAATTCTAGAGTATTGTTTATTTTCGAACGGTGACTGATAATTTTTTATGAGATGTGCAGAAATAATAAAGAAAAGGTGGTTTATTGTGTATCACACCAACACTACATATTGTACCTAATTCGAATCAATTCTTACAATATTCATATATTTAGAATTTCTGTTTCAGGCAGATGAATTCATTCCATTGAGAAACTCGAAACGAATCCGAAAGCTATCTATATATTTTCTGGGAGTTCATTTATGCCTATCCATTCCTATTATAGTTTTGGATATCTTAGGATGGACCTCTTCCGTGAATAAAAGGGAGCAAACTCCTATCTCCTTCATCAAAAAATATTTTACATATTATTCAGTATACCTTATTATCATAATGAAAGAAGTTATAATCTTTCACATCGTGTATCTGATCAAAATCAGGATTTCGTTGCTGAATGATGAACTTGAAGAGTTGGGAAAAATACTAATAAAAAATAACAGGACTTTTTCAGAGAAAGGTATTATGTTGAATATCGGAAGTATTTCATTGACCAAAATGGGTGGCAATACTAAACAATTCCGAAAACAAGATATAAAAATTCAGAAAGCATCGGATATAGGTGAGTTTCGCACAAAATACATATTTCATTGTATACAAATGATGCTAACTATGATCGCCTACATAAATTACGACCAGTAATTGATCATCTGAATTCTAAATTCCGAAGTATTCCCCTGGAAGAAAAACTATCTGTCGATGAGCAAATGTGTGCTTCGAAGGCTAGACATCACATGAAACAGTACAAGCCAGCTAAGCCCCATAAATGGGGCTACAAACTTTTCATTTTATGTGGTGTAGGCCAGGAAAATTAGCTCAAAATAGGGGGGTTTGTGTTAATTAAATCGCGGTAAGTCGGAAATCGTTTTAATCTTATTTTGGTCCTAAATACATGTAATCTGAGTTTGCACCATCCCAGGAGGTGAGCTTAACTTTTGAGAGCCAAAAAACCTCGAAATTTTCGGACTTTTTTCAGTTTTCCACAAATAACTCGAAAACCATCTGTTGTACAGAAAATTTTATGCTATTCAAAATTGAAAAGCATTGAATTCTTCGTCGAAGAGTACCACAAACATTAAAATCGGTTCAGCGGTTTGGCCGCAATCGATTGTTCAATATTGGCGATTTTCCCCATTTTAGTGTAAGCTGTCATTTCTTGGCGGTTCAGCATCAACTATCTTCTAATCTGCTTCCCTAATTAATAATACTCATGGAATAAAAGTTGTAGAAAATCTAATTTCCATTTAAATAGACCCCTAAAATTTTGAAAATGGTCAATTTTAAACACTGAAATAAACGACAATGAAAAATATGTCACATCTGGAAGAGTAACAAAATTTATATATAAGTTATATGTCAACGCTATTTATATTTATTTACATTCAGAACCGCACCTAATTAATGAATAGACAACTTGACGTGAGGGTAAATACGAGTTATAGTTTNGTATTGTTCAAAATTACTTCGTGAATAAACCATTACACTAGCCAACAAATGAGAAAAAAAATGCGACTAATATTATAATGGCTATGTATGAGAATTTGAAGCATCCTGACTGCGACTTCAACATCAAACATTTTTCATCACGTAAAGATTTTGAGTTATTTATTATATAAACAAATTTCCACAAATTATAGGGAAATATAAGATCAAAACAAGAAAAAAACAATATATTTTGAGGATAACAGACTTTATTTACAATACACATGGAAAGACATCCAAATGAAGTCTTTTGCGCATAGCCTTTTTGCAAATAATGACTTTCGTTTATATTTGTTTTATCGTTTTCCCTCATAAGGAATCAACTATGATCCCGCATCATTGCTGCATCCCATCTGCCTTGGTAACGTTGCTCCATTGTCAGTATGTCTTGGTGGAACCTTTTCCCTTGTTCGTCACTGACAGCACTCAAATTTTCTGGGAAAATATTCAAAAGGGAGTTCCAGAAATGGATTTTGAGAGACATGCGACATCCCATTCTACAGTAGCTTTCAAATAGTTTTTCTTCAAGTGTTTCGTAATTTTCTACTTTCTTGTTTCCTAAAAACTCCGAAATAATTCTTCTGAAAGAACTCCCGTAGCTAATTCAACATTACTCAATTTTTGATCAAACTGTTGTTCACTTAGTAGTTTTCTAATTTGTGTTTCAACAAATATACTTTCCTTGAGCTTTGCATCACTTATTTAAACGTATCACCTTCTTTGTCTAATGCTTTTACAAAATTTTTCATTAACCCCAGTTTAATGTGTAATGGAGGTAACAAAACGTTTTTGGGATTAACAAGAGGTATATTTTTCACGTAGGCTTGACCTGGAATATATTTATCTCTTGGAGGCCATTCTTTTGGCCATGGCTCTGTGTTGCCCTACTGTTCCAAAGGCAAAGAAAACAGCAAAACTTCGTAAATCCACCCTGAAGACCTAGAAATAGTCCTATGACTTTTAGGTCACCACATATTTGCCACTTATACGTATTATAACTTATTGCATTTAGAATAAATGACATACTTTCGTGTGTTTCCTTCATGGCAACTGCATGTGCAAGAAAATAGAGGGTCTTTTGTTACCATTATGGTGCAGAACGGCTTTCAAACTTATTTTAGACGCTCTATTGCCAGATTTTGAACAATTTGCTCAATTTTGGAAAAAAGCAAATTTGGAATGTCGTGTTCATTAAATTTTTGTGGAAAAAATCATAACCCAAAAATCTTAAGTGTTTGGAAATTTTTACTATCATTTTCGCATTTAGGAACCAAAAATTAACAAAGAACTGCCTTTGGCATTACAGTCATGAATTGGCTGTAAACTAGTGTTATTTATGGGTATGATGTTTGTCTAGTTCCGCAATTGTCAAAGTCATCAGGCCGTAGGTGCCACTGGGTCCTAAAATTCTTAGTACAGCCGCTTCTTTGGCTAAAAAGTTGGCAATGCGATTACCTTTACTTCTGTCGTGCCCTTTAACTCACCTCAGGATAATGTTATTATCTACCGAGGCTTTGGCTAAATTTTGGTGGCATTCTAGAGTGCCACTAGAGTTGGACAAGGATTATTGTTGTATTGCTCAAAATTGCTTCGAAAATAAACCATTATTTCTCGAGAATAAAAAATGGTTGTTCCTGAGAGATAGACTTCTTTGAAAACCTTTTCAAGATCTTCAATATTGTCATACATGTTTTGATCTATCTCGTGTGGTTCAGCCAGCGTTTGCAATGTAAGCGCAAAAAATATGTTTATTCACGACATGACATTATAAACCACTGAAGTTATCAGTGTTCCACTACTGTATAATTCATGTTATATTCATATAAACATTTCTTTTGAATCACTCTATCTATTGAAAAACCCGCATCAAAATATGTTGCGTAGACTTAAAGATCAAAGCATACTTAGGGACAGACAGCGGGAAGTAATTTTGTTTTATATTCTGTAGTGATTGTTTTTAATGTTTTTTATTCGAAATTTTTTAGATAATCATGCTGAGTTGTCTTCTTCACCTCATCGTCACTTCATATTTTCTACTGATAGACATCTTCCTGCGAGGTAGTCCAGTTGTTATAATTCAACAGTTAATTTGGATCCTAGTACATGTGGGACGAATACTCCTTATAGTTGAGCCTTGTCAATCGTGTGTTAATGAGGTGATTATGAAAATAACAGTAAAAATATTAACCTATATCTTGGAATAATAGAAATCACAGACAAAGTTTGAGACATTAAACATCATGCATATATAGGAGAGAGGGTTAAAGTGGCTTCAGTGAGTACAAGCCTATAGCTTGTACTCACAGATTTCACAAATTGTCTCATTTTTTAAATTTTTTCCTGTACTGAAGTGAGATCACCAATCTAATTTTTATGTTGACATTGNCGGAGGAACATGCTAACTATACCCTAGCATAGAAAAGAAGTATTCAAACGATCTTTCTCTTATAATATAGAGACTTTCGGCGATGTCCTGGATGTACCTAACTTTTCGTTGTCTTATGATGCATTTAAATTTAGATATAAACGATTTTTATTTAGTCAACAATAGTTTGTTGCCTGTACCTTTTGATTATGTTTTATGAAATCCTACTCAACAACCATAGTTGGTTAACAAAATATTTGATAAAGAGTTCGAAAATATGAAGTTTACTTTTCTTATCGTGTATATGTATTTAGTGGCTTCTCAAAGGGTCTGTGGAAGAATTGGCTGCAGAGTCTAACTGTTCTCCTTTTATTTACCTGCATTTGATACTTTTGTTTTGTGAAGTTATTTTGTATTACTTTATGTATTGGTAAATAATAAATGTATTATTATTATCGTCCAATGCATCCCGAGAAAGTCACTGTTTGGTGTGGATTTTGGGCTGGCGGCGTCATCGTTCCATATTTCTTTGAGAACGACGTTGGCTAGGCCATCACTGTCAATGACTACTATAACTATTATAAACTATTAGCTACTATACAAACAATAAATGAAAAACATTGACATAAATATGTTTATGCTACAGTTTCGGATGAAAACGTTGTCAACAGATCCAGCACTTTCGATTGATTATTTGAAAAATAATAAATGGTGTGTGATAATTAATTTGTTAATAATGCTGGGAGGCCATCCGAATGGACTGAAGCTTTCGTCATCGAATCAATTTGGACTAAGTGAAATTTCCTTACTTTTCGATTCCGAAAATTTCTTAACGTTAGATTAATATGACAACATAAGTAAAAATGTCATATCTACAAATATGTTATGCTTCAAATAATGTCTTTAAACAGGTCTACAGAGTCAACAAAACCTCACTTTTTTTTTAATTAAATGATTCATGCTTAGTCATATATTTGTTGGTTTTGAAGCCCAAATATTATTTTATCAGTTCAATTAAATAATTCGAAATCGATCCCATAATTTTTTTTTATTTTATAGCACAAGAAAACGAAAATCAAAGTTTGTGAGCTCCTGACATATGATATGAATGAAGAGGTCAAAAATTCGGTAAAATTTGTCATTCTGATATAATATTTTTTTATTTCAACAATACTTCAACATTTTTCCAGATGGAATATTTTTCACTTCAACTGATGTACTGTGAAATGGATTTTTCTTGTTGTGGATTCTTTGAAATTAACAGAAGCCTTTTAACATCGGTAAGTAATAATATGCAGTGGCATAGAATTCATTATATTACCAAAATGAGGACAAATAAATTAAGAAGTAGCGATTACCCTGGCTTCGCATATATGTAATTTAGAATTTATGACCCGAAGACGATTGTGGATTCCAACAATCGGAACGTCGTGAAGTAAATTGGTTTGAAATCTGTCTTACTTTTGATTTCTTTTTAATTTTTTAGTTTTCAATTTCTTGTCTATTTTCATTTTTCATTTTATTTCTATTTTTATTTCCTTTTACTCTGTGGAAATTTTCATCTTTTATCTGGATGATTCTCATGTGTTTCAGAAAATAATATAATTGATATTTTAGCTATTCATCTCAATTCCTTTTATTATTTCAGAGATTTCCAATCATATTAGTAAAATTAATAATTAAATATTGCCTATTATACGATATCAATGCTTCATTTTTCAGATTGCAGGAGCAGTTTTCACTTACCTGGTCATACTTTTCCAGTTTGAAGATTAGATGATAGCTGCCCATTCTAGAACCCCTTGTAGAATATTGAACGTATGTTCACTCTACTATTAATTTTAGTTTTTCTAAAAAAGTTATATATTTTTATGTACAATGTACAGAAGCACAGAAAAACTACATATTTTAACTTATGTGTAAATATGTGGTTTGTGAATGAAGATATTTTTTGTTGTAACAGCTTACTTCACAAATGAAACTATATATAAATATATGTATTTATATTTGTTCATGACGATGTCAACTTCCTATTACGTCATTGAAACCTAAATATTATCGAAAGTATTCTATAAAATGAGATTCTGGTTACAGAGATATTCGAAATTTCATTTATGATTTATATTGAAATTATATCCTGCCACATGAACATTTAATGTGCTAGAGAGTTTATTTACAGAATTTTCATACTTACCATTACTTACCATCTAAAAATGTCATGTCCTATAATATTCTTCGAACACTGTGAGAACCGACTGTGTCGAAGTAATTTTCTGAACATACTCCATTAATAACAGCAAGTGAATGGTAACCATTTTGAACATTTGTTACATTTCATTTTTCCGCTTTTCATTTTATATTGTTTGCGAGACAATCTAAAAAAACACATTTTGGCAATTTTGAATTTGAAATTCAATTCTGGGATTCTTCTAAGCAATCTGCTGGAGTAGTGAGTACTGCAAATGAATCATAATCAGAATGCATAGAGTTATTTCACATAGTGGATAACGTAGAGTGAGAAGTGAGGTACAGAAAGAGATATCTTCTTTCAATAATGTTATATTTGAAATCGGTGGGCTTTGTGTATATGCCTAAAAGAACTGATGAAACAGGTGCTAACATTGCCTGAGCTCTCAACTGAAACCGATTATATGTGTGAAGGATGGAATTTGAGATAAATTTTTGAGAATAATCCATGAGAAGAAATTTAACTTTTTGAGGTATTTATAGATATTAAGTCAAAATTGGAATATATGAAAGCATATTATTACTTCAAACTATCTGTATCTGTAGAGTAGGGATTGTGAGTGTAGGCCTACAGCACTTGTGACCCATTGTACATCCTCCCGAGGAGTTGTCCTCCTAGGTCATCGTCCATCCTGTCCTTTCCAGGAAGCTGGACAGGTTTCTGGGAAACATCTCTTTCCTATAAATTCANACACTTACACAACTTCAAACTAATCGTAGAGTCATCGGGATTTTTGTCATAACAGTTTTTTTGTATTGTAGTTCTGCAATCATCATAAAAAGCATACACACGACTGCCGGAGTCTCGAATCTCAAGAATCAAAAGCCTTGACGTTAGTGTCTGGGAAAAGCTTTTCCATCAGAAGTTGTGAGGTTTAGTGTATTAAACCCTAGGGTGAGACCCTAATTTTTTTTTCATTTAAACAACCTAGGGAAAGAATTTAAGAACATTGACACTCTAATTTTTTTATGCAGTGACAATTTATGATGTTCGATAGTGATTATTTAGTATTTTCATTAATGAATTCATTTCAAGTCTGGGAATGCAAAACCCTATTAACACTCTCAAGTAAACCTTTATTCCTTGTTCCATTGGTACGCTTGAAGTGTATCCTATTCCGATATAACTAAATTGTTCTACAGTTAGAGGTGTTGAAAAATGAAATACTATTTCTAGAAACGTATGTAGATGGCGTCCGAGTAAAAGCTAAAGATTTCAGCACTTATGAGTTTCGAATTATTTTCTTGAAATCACGATATTTATCGTTTGTTTGCTGATTATCAAAAAGGAATATACGATTGATCATTATTTAGAAGTGGCAAATTTGACTTTCAAAAATTAAACAGTGCTGAATATACAATTAGACTGTCTACCAAACGAGTTAAAATTAAACCCTTCATATATATTTGAAGTAAAAATTAGGGGTTTTGTACATATTTGCCTTGTCTAAACAAATATGTACGAAACATTAATGTCGAAAAATACTACTTTGTCGGTATACTTACCTCCCGTATTGTTGATGTAATGACACTTAAAAGCAGTAGCATTTTGAAGAAGCAAGCACCACTACGTTTAATTTTCATTGTGTTGTTATGTTGAGATTTCATGTCAATAGTCGACAAGATTCATGTTTTCATGACGTTGCTGGAGATACAATTCACCGTATGATTAAGTAGAAGCAAGGAGGAACTAGATGTGAATACAATTCAACATAATGATATGCCCCCATAATTTCAGTTCTGAGTTACTTGAGTTCTACTTATATTATGTATGAAAAATGCTTAATTTTTTCATTATATTCTTTTCGAGAGAAATACATTTTTCTCACTTTGTTCTGCCTCCTAAGTAGTCCATCCACAATTTCTCGAATAACACATTTTCGCACCTATTATATCACATGGAAATCATTACGTCTCACTTAGAAACTTTCTAATGCACTGATTCTTATATCATTAACTGATGATTCTTTTACAGAAACTATTTCATTTTTTGCAATGCCATACTTGAACAGAAATATTGCCTTATCGAAAATATATCTGTTGAATTATCTTCACTACACATGTATTATACATATGTGAGAAATTGATAAAGTAGAAAATAAACTTATCAGTCGATGTAGTGTTTTATTGAAAGTTATACCTACACATCAAGAATCGAGCACTACTGAATGGTGTTAGACAATTATTACAATTTACTATGTGAAGCGTTGATTTTTTTTTCAATTGATGACCTATTCATTTAGTAAAAATTATTAGACTCTCGTCTAAATGTTCATTAGTTACGACTGATTTTCGGTTTATTAAACCATTCTCAAGTAAACTGATGAAAATTGACCAACAAATCTGTAACATCCGTAGTTGTTGAATTTTACTATGTGAAGCGTTGATTTTTTTTTCAATTGATGACCTATTCATTTAGTAAAAATTATTAGACTCTCGTCTAAATGTTCATTAGTTACAACTGATTTTCGGTTTATTAAACCATTCTCAAGTAAACTGATGCAGTTTGAATAT